TGCTCTTTTGCAGTTTATTTTGGAGCAACTCTGTGATTTGATTTGCCCAGTGAAACCAGAGCCTGTTTACCTTTTGATTTTAAACAAGTCACATACTCAAGAAGAGTTCATCAGGGGTTCCATGACAAAGAGTCCATACTCCAGTGTGGAGATTGGCCCACTAATGAGAGATGTGAAAAACAAAATATGTCGGCAACTTGATTTGATTGGACTTATAGAAGATGACTATGGTATGGAATTACTGGTTGCTGGGAATATAATTTCACTTGATCTTAGCATCTCCCAGGTCTATGAGCAAGTGTGGAGAAAGCACCACGGCCAAACTCAGCATTCTTTGTCGAGTGCCAGTACACTCTCTGCTACGTCATCTGTCAGAGATTGCCCGCCAATGACGGTAACCTACAGACTACAGGTACATTACGAGGGTTTAACTTATTTTTTGTTGCCTTAAATTCTTTACCGCGTATGTAGCACCTTGCTAGTTGTAGCAGTTTTTTGATATCTTGATGCTTGTTTCCATGCGCTGCTCCTTGGCCATATACAAGTTTGCGTTAACCTTTACCCCTGCATTGAGGCTATGTCGAGCCAAGAGCATTTTCATTACTATGGAAAATGTTTAATCGTGTCCTCTGTGAAGCACCAAATCTCTCTTTTAAAAACTGTGAAGCGCGAAACCTTTGAACCGTATTGTGTGCACATTACAATTATATACATGCCTAGTGTTCCATCATAGCTTTTACCTTTTATTGGTAAATCATATTGCTGTACATGTATTGAGTAATTCAGTAATTTGAGGATAGTCTATTTGGTCTGAAACTAGTTAAGGATTGTGCATGGTTTGATTTTCTGCCTCCTCTTGGATTAATATACATCCAGATTTATTCACATCATTCGCTGTTGTGTCAAAATTTTTTTCCCTGATCAGGGTTTAGATGGTGAAGCAACTGAGCCCATGATTAAAGAGCTAGAAGAAGAAAGGGAGGAATCACAAGATCCTGAAATTGAATTTGCCATATCAGGTGCTGTTAGGGAATGTGGAGGTCTGGAAATTATATTAAGCATGATTCAGGTATGTTGTGTCAATACTTTTGGTTTTCTTGTCCCTCAAGTGCAGTGTCATGAAGTTGAAAAAGTTTACATTTATTCAACTGTTATGCTTCAGTTCTGTTATTTTTATTGAATCCCAGTTTTCTTTTTGCCAGAGCCTACGTGATGACGAGTTAAGATCTAACCAGGAGGAGTTGGCTTCAGTTCTTAACCTTCTCAAGTATTGTTGCAAAATCCGTGAAAATAGATGTGCCTTACTACGTCTGGGTGCCCTTGGTTTGCTACTTGAGACAGCCAGGCGCGCGTTCTCAGTAGATGCAATGGAACCAGCCGAGGGTATTCTATTAATTGTAGAAAGCCTTACATTGGAAGCTAATGAGAGTGACATAAGTATCTCGCAAAGTGTATTTACAACTAGTGTTGAGGAGACTGGTGCGTGTGAGCAGGCCAAAAAAATTGTTCTCATGTTTTTGGAGAGGTTATGTCATCCTGTAGGCACCAAAAAATCAAACAAGCAACAAAGGAATGAGGAGATGGTTGCCAGAATCTTGCCTTACCTGACCTATGGAGAGCCAGCAGCTATGGAAGTTCTGGTCGAACATTTTGAGCCCTACCTTAGGGACTGGAGTGAGTTTGACCGGTTGCAGAAGCAGCATGAAGAGAATAAAAAAGATGACAATTTAAGCCAAAAGGCATCAATGCAGAGATCTGCTGTTGAAAACTTTGTTCGAGTGTCGGAATCACTCAAGACGAGTTCATGTGGTGAGAGGCTGAAGGAGATCATTCTAGAGAAGGGCATTACAAAAGCTGCTTTAGGGCATCTGAAGGAAAGATTTGCTTCTGCAGGGCTGGCTAGCTCTAGAACTAGTGCAGAATGGGCAGCTGGATTAAAGCTGCCATCTATTCCATTCATCCTATCAATGCTGAAAGGGCTTGCAAAGGGTCATTTGCCTACACAGAAGTGTGTCGATGAAGAAGGCATTTTACCACTTCTCCATGCTTTAGAAGGGGTGCCTGGTGAAAACGAAATTGGTGCACGAGCAGAAAATCTTTTGGACACCCTAGCGAACAAAGAAAATAATGGCGATGGCTTCCTGTGGGGGAAGATTCAAGAACTGCGGCATGCTACGAGGGATGAGATGCGACGCCGTGCTCTCCAGAAAAGAGAAATACTACTTAAGGTAACCGCTACAGATATAGTTTCATCAGCTGTTATGTTTCAACCGATTGTTTTAACCCTGTTTTTCAAAGATTATTCTGCAAATGCGCAAAATCATGTTGAATCTTGAACTGAAATTATAGGCTATTGATTATTCCTTGTTTTTATTTGTGTAGTTTATGCTTTGTTGTTTGATCTCAATGTCTACATTTGCACCACAAAGTAACATATTTTGCTGCTTTCTTTCTCTCTAGGGGCTAGGAATGCGGCAAGAATTTGGTTCGGATGGAGGTAGACGTATCGTTGTCTCTCAGCCTATAATCGAAGGTTTTGATGATGTGGAAGAAGAGGAAGAAGGGCTGGCCTGTATGGTCTGTAGAGAAGGGTATACTTTAAGACCAACAGACATGTTAGGAGTCTATGCTTTCAGTAAACGGGTGAACCTGGGTGCAACAAGTTCTGGCAGTGGCCGTGGGGATTGTGTATTCACTACTGTTAGCCACTTCAACATCATACACTACCAATGTCATCAGGAAGCCAAACGAGCTGATGCTGCACTGAAGACTCCTAAAAAGGAATGGGATGGGGCTACCCTGAGAAACAACGAGACATTGTGTAATTGTATCTTTCCGCTGAGGGGGCCATCTGTTCCACATGGGCAGTACAACCGATGTGTAGATCAGTATTGGGACCAACTGAATTCTCAAGGACGGGCAGATGGAAGTCGTCTCCGGTTGTTGACATACGACATTGTTCTGGTACGTGGCTGTTGCTATCTTGGTCTCCTTTTTAAAACAATATAAGAAATGAATCTAAGGGTTTGCACTATCACCATTTCTTTTGTACGATAACAGTTGGGTAGAGCCCTACTGGTTATATTAACAAAAAGCAGCAAGGTTACAAAATTCTGTGCAGAGTCAACAAAACCAAGTAATGAAAACCATCTACAAATGGAATAGGTGATGAACTCCAAAAACAATTCCAAACTGAAGAGAAAATATTCTTTAACAAATGTTGGTTTATTTTACTTGAATGAAAAGTTGAAACATCTAGTGTAATCTACACTCTTTGTTTTTTATTTTGCCAAACACCCTGTACAGCGTGTAATTTTGTGATCTGATGGCAATATGACACTGAAATCCATGGCCACATGGCTATTGTAAGGATGGAAAATCTGGTGAATATTATTCTTGTCTAGTTAGTCTCCCCTATTGTTACCTAAGGGGAGAGGCAAACACTGGGTTTGGGACTTCAGGGAACGTAAAATTTGGCCTAGCAATTCACTGAATTGTTGTTAACATTTCGGTGGATAGATTTTCTGTTCTTTCACATCTTACAAACGACTAATTGCAGATAATTGTTGTGTTGTTTTTACTAGATGCTGGCCAGGTTTGCCACAGGCGCTTCTTTCAGCACCGACTGCAAGGGTGGGGGGAAGGAGAGCAATTCACGGTTTCTTCCTTTCATGATCCAGATGGCTTCTCATCTTGTAGATGGAAGTGCCAACCAGCAACGCCATTCGATGGCCAAGGCCATCTCTACTTACCTGTCCAGTTCTCTCTCAACTTCAGAATCTCCCAGTCGGGTTTCAGCTTCTCCCCCTGGAGCTCGGGGTAGTCCAGGGTCTCCGGAGGAAACTGTGCAGTTTATGATGGTCAACTCTCTGCTGTCTGAGTCTTACGAGAGCTGGACACAGCACCGCCCTGCTTTCCTGCAGAGGGGCATCTACCATGCTTACATGCAACACAAGCATGGGCGATCCGCCCTCAAGCTTTCCGCCGAGTCGTCTTCCTCCGCGGCCCGGTCAGACGAAGGTTCGTCCGCTGATCCAAACGACGACGGCAAGAGGCTCTTTGCCATTGTCCAGTCGATGCTGGTGTACACTGGGTTGGTCGAGCAGCTGCAGCAATTCTTCAAGAAGGGCAAATCATCTGGGACTAGCAAGTCAAGCCAGAAAGACGAAGCAAGCAGCAAGTGGGAATCCACGATGAAAGAAAGGCTGAGCAACATGAAGGAGATGGCGGGACTATCAAAGGACCTGCTCTCATGGCTTGACGACATGAGCTCGTCTGAAGATTTGCAGGAGGCCTTCGACGTCATGGGGGCGCTGCCAGACGTGTTCTCCAGCGGGTACACGAAATGTGATGATTTTGTCCGGGCTGCCATACAGGCTGGGAGGAGCTGAGCGGCCAGAACTCCACTCCACTGTTTGTGTTGATATAAGGCACGACCCTTTTTGTTTTGTATGATGAGATAGGCAGCTTATGTGTGTAAACAGTCTAGCACTTGGAGATCAGCTGGTTGAACTTGTATAATATTATGTCGTGGCATTGCCGGCCTTCATTCTCAACATGCTTTGCTCCTGCTGTCAACTGTTACAGTTGCCGCTTTTTCTTTTCTCCCCCTTTTCGCTTGCGCTGGTTTTCTGCTGTGGCTCGGAACTGTATAATATACGAGTCTGGCATGTTTAGCTGTTATAAGTGGCTGAGTCGAATGAAATTGGCGGCCCGGGTTGCACGTATTGAAAGCGCCACCGAAATTTGATTAACTACTAGTTGTTGGCTTGTAGTGCGAGCTCGGTCCTTAGTACGTTCCATGTAACGAATCTCTGAAGTGCCAAGATTGGCGGCTGCAAGAAGCCGCCGCCTCAGAGATGGATGAGCAAGAAGCTCGGCTCATCCTTCACCGATCACCATGCCTAGCGGCGCGCACAGTGCAGCAGCACTATAAATCTTACGCTCGGTGTACATGTGCACGCAGCCAGTGAGCACCCGAGAATTTGAGCTAGAGAAACATGTCCTCTCTGCGACATGCCATGCCCGTCGTCTTGGTCCTGGCGCATGCCGTCCTGGCGCTGGCACTCCAGGGCGTCGCCGCTGGTTCAGGCGAGGTCCCGGCGGTGATTGTGTTCGGCGACTCCACCGCTGACACCGGCAACAACAACTTCATCCAGACCGTAGCCAGGGGCAACTACGCTCCGTACGGGCGGGACTACGCCGGCGGCGTCGCCACCGGCCGGTTCTCCAATGGCCGCCTCCCCGCCGACTTGGTCTCCGAGGCGCTGGGCCTGCCGCCCTCCGTGCCGGCGTACCTCGACCCGTCCCACACCATCCACCATCTCGCCTCGGGCGTCAGCTTCGCCTCCGCAGGCTCCGGGCTGGACAACATAACCGCGCAAATCCCGGTAACCATGCATACTACTCCAGTTGTTCTCAGCTCAAAAAATAGAAAATAAAAGAAGAAAGTCCATTTTACTATCCTGAACAAAGTTGGTGGTTCACATTACCCTCTGATCTTTATTTCGGTTCCTTTTACCCCTTGAACAATCTCAAACCGGACAAAAGACCCCCTTGGGTGGTTTGTCTCAACATGCAGTTGATGTGGCGCTGGTCAATGGTGGTTTTGACCTGTGGGTGGGGCCACGAGGATTAACTTAAGTGAAACAGAAAATTAGCCCATGGTTAATTAGGAAATGGGACCCGCTTGGCAGTGACTCAGGGGCGCTCGGTGAGGAAATTAGCCCTCGAGGCGGCGCTTGATGTCGAGCAGGTCGCGGCGGAGGTTGTCGTCAGTGGGGAACCGCGCGTCGATGGCCAGGAACTCATGTGCTGCGGGGGCGGCGGCCGCGAGGTCGTTGGCTGCCAGGGCGCGGCGCGCAGCGTTCGAGCGCGCGGGAATAGTCGAGTGCGGCCTCGACACGGGCCAGGGCGGACTCGGCGCGTGAGTGCGCCGCATCGAGGTGGCGGATGCGGGAGGAGAGCACCTCGGTGAGCGTGGCGGTGGAGGAGGATAACTCCCTGAGCGCGGTGGCGTCGGAGGCGGCGAGCGGGAGGAACGGCGGGGCAGAGCGGAGCAGGGAGGCGGCCGCACGGTCGAGGTTGGGGCGGTGGGCGAGGAGCGCGTTGAGGCGGGCGTCGAGGGTGCGCTGGTAGGCGACGCACTCGTGGAGCAGGCGGGTTGCGGCGCCGACGTCGGTGAGGTCGTGGAGGACGACGAGGGAGGCCGGGTCGCCGAAGTCCAGGGATGGGCGGCGTTGGCAGACGCGTTGGCCGCCGCGGATGAGTCCGGGCGAGGGGAACGCGGGGTGGGCGTGGCGGACGGCACGGCCATGGATGCCGGGGGCAGGGTGGATCTCAGTGAGTTCAGTTGTGCGGGAAGGGAGAGGGAAGAGAAGGGAGAAAGGAGAAGCAGGGCGTCAGGGCAGCAGCTTGGAACTCTGACGGTCGCCGACGTCATCCAGATGCGGCAGGGTCGCGCACGGTGCTCGGGATGGAGGCAGCTGCGATGGAAGGCTCGGGAGGAGCTCCTCTGTCTCAACCCAGCGTGACAAGGGAGACTCGCCTGCAGGTCAAAACCGCCCATTGACCATTGCCACGTCAGCAATCAGTCAAGTCAAACTACCCAGGGACTGATTTTGTCCGGTATGAGATTATTCAGGGGTAAAAAGAACCGAAATAAAGATCAGGGTTACCACCAACTTTGTTCAGGGTAGTAAAATGGAGTTTTTTTAAAATAAAAAAAACTAAGTTGAATTGGATGGACGCAGTCGGCGATGACCCTGGGCGAGCAGATCGACCACTTCAGGCAGTACACGGAGCGGCTGAGGCGGGCGAGAGGCGAGGCGGCGGCGCGCCGCATCATCGCCGGCGCCCTCTACATCTTCAGCATCGGCGCCAGCGACTTCCTGCAGAACTACCTGGTGTTCCCCGTGAGGGGCTACAGCTTCACCCCGCCGGAGTACGAGGCGTACCTCGTCGGCGCCGCGGAGGCGGCCGTGCGGGCCGTGCACGGGCTCGGCGCGCGCGCGGTCACCTTCGCCGGCCTGCCGCCGCTGGGGTGCCTGCCGCTGGAGAGGGCCGTCAACCTCCACAGCCCCGGGGACTGCAACGGTGCGTACAACATGGCGGCCGTCAGCTTCAACCGCAGGCTCGAGGGGATGCTGGGCAGGCTCGGCCGGGAGCTGCCCGGGGCGCGGGTGGCGTACGTCGACCAGTACGGCCTCCTGTCGGCCATGATCGCCAGGCCGTGGGAGTATGGGTTTGAGAACTCGGCCCAAGGATGCTGCGGCAGTGGCACGGGGTATGTGGAGACGGGGGGCGCGCTGTGGAGCTTGGAGAGCGCGCTGGCGTGCGACGACGCCGGCAAATACGTCTTCTTTGACGCCGTCCATCCGTCGGAGAGGGCGTACAGGATGATAGCCGGCGCCATCCTGAATGCCACGTCCCACCCGCGCTCGCACCGCTTCCGCTGACGCTTCTCCGAATTCGGACGTCAGATACACAGCTCCAAGAATGATGGAAGCAGATTCCATACATGTAAAAGAAACAAGTAAAAAGTCTAGTGACCAACAACTGCACCACGATGTTGGAAGTAAACCCAACTTCGTCCGGTCTGATCAGTACGTGTCCAACTAGTACTCCTACATGAGTTGGCTGCCGTGTAGAACTAGTATATCCTATACCGATTCATCATGTAACTAGGCAGGCTAGCTGCCATTTGTACCCGTGCAAGTCCCCTGTAAACCAAACCGCGAGTTGAAAAGCAATAAAGAAGAACACCGGCTCGACGCAAGCCTGCTGGCTATTCAAATAACCGAGTGCTGCGTGTTGCTGTCCTGCTAGAAGTGCTAGTGCAGCATAACTGGTACTCTTCACGTCCAGCAAAGGATCAATTAGGGATCAGGTGGCCAGCTTTGTACTACGGTGCACCTGGACGCACAAGCACCTCGTCGAGTTCAGTCAGTGAGTTGGTACGTCGTTGTCGGTAGTTGTTGTCGTTGGAAAGTACTCGGCGTCGTCGGGACCGTACCAACACACGATCGAACGAAACAGTGTAGCGGGCAACCGGGCTTTCTAGATGCAGCCCAGAAATCTTCTCTCTGCGGCGATGGTTGCTAGCAATTTCAGCCAGACCCAGCAGCAAATCGATAAGCAGCCCACGTTCGTTGAGCTGGTGCGTGGCACTGACCGGTGTAAGCTGGCTGATATGCACAAGGAAAAAGTTAAGGCACTCTTGATTTGCGATCCTAAGAGGAAAGCTCTTGTCCCCAGCCGCTTCTGCAGCTTCCACCTAGCCAGCTTCGACCATGATGAAGAGAGTGAGTATCTATATATACTTCCATCTTAACAAGTCACAACCGTAGGCTTCCTTCTAGCTCTAGCTATTATAACCGGAAGCGTTCATGCTCTTGTTTGTTCTGATTTGTTTCTTTGATCTTTATTAATTTACAGCAAAAGTTCCACTTGGGCCACCATATGAATCTGATGCGGCTGATATGGCGGGTTCATCCATCAATGTCACCTCCTTGAGGTTTGTTAAAGCTGGCCCTGAGCACACATACCAAGTCGAGGTTTATGGCAGAGTTATTGCCAGGGAGGAGGACATGAGGTTGATTACAAATGTGTCTTTCTGTTCGATCGTGAAAGGAAGGATGCCCAGTTCATCAATTCAGAGG